GTTGCAGGGGGCGGGTGGGGTGGGGTGGGGGTGAGGGAGGAGAGGGGGCGCGAGGAGGGGTCAGGAGAGGTGGGAGAGGTGGGGGAGATGTGGCAGTGTCGGGGCGAGAGAGTGCGGTCCAGGGGAGATGTGTGGAGCCTGCGAATCCCGTCACGAGCCGCACACCATTACCACCGCAGCAACGGCAACGCAGGCAGCCCCTGCCCCACACCCCCATGCATGCTGGCCGCCAGCCAGCCGTGCCTGCCGCTGAAGCAGCCGTCGGCGTCCAGCGTGCCCGGCGTGGGCACCAGGGCGGGGGGCAGGTGCTCCCAGTGCACCAGGTCTGAGCTGACGGCGTGCCCCCAAACCTGCACGGCGGCGGCGGATGCGACACATGTCACCAAACGAGCCAGGTCACAAGGAATGGCCACAGGACGGGTGTGGGGTCGGGGGGCCAGGCACCCAGCCGCCCTGTGAAAGGCCCACAAGGCTCGGGCCGTTACGGCGAGAGCGGGCGGTGCCGGCTGACAGGGGCCATGGATGGGTTTCAAGGCAGCACGCATGGCTGCAGCACGCAGCGGCCCCCCATTGCACGCATCGGCAGCGGCGGCAGCGCAAGCGCGGCGGCTGCTCACGATGCCAAACGCCCACTCGCAGGCGTTGGGCAGGTGCTGGTAGAACCTGCGGGGGCACACACGAGGCGGCAGGCGCAGAGGGGAGGTGAGGGCAGGCGCAAGGGGAGGGGGCGCCTGGGCGAGCGCGGCAGCTGCCGTCGGCAGCACGCAGCAGCTGGCAGGACAGCTTCCTGGCTCTCTCACATGTGGTACCGGCCCTTATAAAACACGGGGCCTGCATGGGGCAGGGGTCAGAGGATGAGGGGGGGATGAGTCTGGGGGGAGGAGGGACGGGGAAGGCGCCCCATGGGTGCTACAGCTCCAGCCTCGCCCACCCAGGTGCAGCCGACGAGGGGTCGAAGCTGCCACAGCCCACCCGCCACCTGCCCCGCCCTGGCTGCCCACCATTTGGGTCGTTCATCCATCCCTGGGGTGGGTGCACGTGGAAGCGAGGGCGGTCTGGATCCAGCAGCTGCGGGGCAGGCAGGCGGCAGGCGAGCAGGAGGTGGGTGAGAGGGGAGGGTAGGGGAGGCGGGACGGGAGTGGTTGGGGGGTTGGGCCTTGCGTCGCGAGAGCGCGGGGACAGGCGGCGGCGAGCAGCAGGGGCGGGGCGGGAAGCCTTTAGGTGTTGCGGCCAAGGGTTGGGGACGAGGCATGGGAGCAGGTGCAGCTGGCCCTGCAGGCTGCCTGTCTGTTAGAGACCACTCGCGGGCGGGCCGCGCTGTGTCACTCGCCGCCGCCGCCGCCGCCAGCAAGCCCAGGGCGCCTCCCTCCGACTGCTGGGGCGGTGGACAGAGGCCGCACGCCCCCAGCTCCCTGCTGGGCGCAGCGGGGCTCTGGCAGGGCCCCTGTCCGCTGTGCCCACCTGTGCCTGAGCTGCAGAGCCTCCCCCGCCCATGGCTCAGGCGGCCCCCGGGAGGCAGTGATCGCTGCTGGAGTCGGCCCACTGGATGCCTCGAACGCTTGCTCCACAGGGCTGTGGTCGCCGCAAGGGCGCTGTTGCGACCCTCGGCCCACCGTGCAGGGCTGCCTCCAGAGGCTGCCAGAGACCGCGCAGGTGACCCAGGCGTGGCAGAGGTCCTGCAAAAGGCCGGGAAGGTGCTGCAGACCGGGGCTGAAGCCCTGTGGGCGGCACCACCTGGCCAGGCGGGGCGGTGAGGTGGCGGCGAAGGACCGAAACTGGCTGCTCCTGTATCTGGACCAGTCTCGCTGCTTGGCCACCACCTGCCTTTTGCCTTGTGCCAAGGCGCAGAGGGTCCAGAAGCCTGCTGATCAAGGGATGGATCGCAGCAGAAGCCAGACCGCTGCGTGACGGTGGCAGGCCCCCGCCTGCTGGTGGTGGCCCGGCAGCAATGCCACTCCACAAGGGATGTACTGCGGCCAGCAAGGCGGCTGGGCTGGCTCACTGCATGCGCTAAGGGTCCCCCATACGCCAACTCCTTTCCAGGTGTGCCTTCAGCCTCCCAACCCCTCCGCTGCCCTCCGCTATGGGTACCACGGTGTGCGAACAAGTGCTGCAGGCCGGCTCCACCGCCCTGAAAGGTTGCCATGCGGGGTTTGAGGCACGCATTACCACTGGCAGAGGGCCGATCAGGTGGATGAAGGCGTCAAGGGCTGGGGGCGGCGAAAGGGCGATGGCGCCACCTCAGCACCACCGAACTTTCTGCACAGCCGGCGCTTCTCCGCGCTGCTCAGTCTTCAAGCCAGCAGTCCCACGCCCCTGGCGCCAGTGGCCAAAACCACCGTGCCCTAGTCCGCTTCCGACGGCTTGCGGGCGTGCTGAGGCTGAGCCTGACAGCCAGTGCAGGACGTCCCAACCCTTGTGGCTCCGTTTGGGGCGGCCCCGCTTGCCTGGTGAGCGTCCAATGTGGGGGATGGCTTGGCTGGGCCCACCCTGCCCTCCCCACGGCTTGTTTGCGAGTCGGCATTGAGACGTGATCCCTTCATCTACGGGTTCAGCACAGACCCTGCTGCGGTGCTCTCGCCGCCGCCGCTGGCGTGCCGCCATGCAGCCGCTCACTCGCACTGCCCGCGTAAGTGCAGGCTGTGAGGGATAAGGGGGAGCATGCAGCTGCTGGCCTCCCTCCAGCAGTCCATAGCGGCGCTGACCACCTCCCAAAAAGCAGCGGAAGCTGTTCCGCAGCAGCAGCAGCAGCAGCAGCAGCAGCCGCCGTCGGTGCAGCCGCCCGTCGCGGCGGCAGGCTCGCTCCCGCCAGCCGACGCGGCGCCCCTCGCGGCGGCAGGCGCGGCGCCACCAGCGAGGCTGGCGGGCCATGCAGCAGGAGAACAGCAGGCTGAGGTGCCGCCTGGCTACAATGCGTCGGTGGAGGCCCTAAGGGAGCGAGAGTTCCAGCGGCTGCAGGGCCGCGTGTATGCAGGCAAGCACAGCTGCGGCAGCGGCATGCCCATGCCCGCCCGCCCGCTTCCAGCCCTCTCATGCCGGCCGGCCTGCGTCCCTGCACCGGTGCCCCAATCAGCCGGTCGGCCCGTGCAGCAGCTCGGTGCTGCTGCTGCCGGCTTCAGAGGGCAGAAGGCTGCTGATTGGACGCTACGCCGTCTGCTGTCTGCTTGTGCTGCGCTGTGTGGGGCGTGCCTCACGAGACTCCCACCCTGCACCCAAGGGCCCTGCCCCTAACCTGCCTCTTGCAGACTATGCGGGGGCGGCGCCCTACTCAGAGCACCTGCTGGCGGAGGTGCTGCAGCAGCTGAGGTGAGGCTGCACCGCGGCTTCGGCTGAGGCTGAGGCTGCGGCTGGCGGCCACTGTGCGGGCGGCCTGCACAGCCAGCGCCCCTGCACTGCTGGCCTACTCGGAATGAATGCTGCCCTTGTGCCCTCGCCGGCCTGCTTCCAATCTCCCCGCCGCCGGTGCCTGCCCTCCCCCCCGGCTGCCCGCCCCCGCAGCGGCAGCTTGCACGGCAACCCGCACAGCGAGGCAGGGTGGGGCCCCGAGAGCCGGGGCGCAGCCGCCGAGGCGGCGCGGCTGGCGACACTGCGCATGTGCGGCGCAGATCCGGAGCGGTACCATTGCATCTTCACTGCCGGGGCCACGGGTAGGTGCTGGGCAGCTGCTCCGCCGCATTCCATGCAGCTGTCAAGCAGTCGTGCCTGCCACTGTCTGCCTCTGCGGGACTGCCGGCCAACCCCTCGCCCGCCACTCGTGCCCCTGCAGCTGCCCTGAAGCTGGTGGGCGAGTCGTACCCCTGGGGCCCCGGCAGTACCTTCCTGTACCTGCGGGACAACCACAACAGCGTGCTGGGCGTGCGCCAGCTAGCGGCACAGCACGGCGCAGCGTGCACCGCAGCCGTGGAGCTGGCGTCGGCCGGCGCCGGCGGCTGCGGCGGCGGCGGCGATGCCAGCGGCGGCTGCTGCGAGTGGGAGGTTGCGGCGAGCGGCAAGGAAGGCCGGTCGGCCCTCGCCGCCGCGCTGTCGGCAGGGGCGGCGGCGTGGGCGAGCAGCAGCAGCGGCGAGGAGCGTGTCGAGAGCGAGCGCGGCGGCAGCACCGGTGGCAGCAGCGAGGCGCAGCACCTGTTTGCATTCCCACTGGAAAGCAACCTGACCGGGGCGAGGTACGATGCAGGCCTGGTGGAGGCGGTACAGTGTGGCGCCCTGCGGGGCATCCCGCCGGGCCGCTGGCGCGTACTGCTGGATGCCGCCAAAGCCTGCGGTACCGCGCCGCCCGACCTGGAGGCTCACCCCGCAGACTTTGTGGTGCTTTCTTTCTACAAGATCTTCGGCTACCCGACAGGTGGGCCGGCGCCCAGGCCTGCAGTACCAGCCGGCCGGCTGCGTTTTATGCCGGCAGCGGCCGGCTAGCTACCTCGGCCCGCTCGACGCGCCGACCCGGGCACAGCTTTCTCCTCCTCTCCATGCAACCTGCCACGTGTTTGCACGCCTGACCACCCAATCCCCAGCCCTCTGCCCCTCCTCCCCGGCAGGCCTGGGCGCTCTCCTGGTGCGCAAGGATGCGCTGCCCTGCCTGCGCCGCCGCTACTTTGGCGGCGGCACCGTGGAGGTGTCGCTGGCGGATGAGCCCTTCCACAGGCAAGCCAGGTGGCGCTGGACGGCTGCCACAGGGTGTGGCGGCTCCTGAGATGGGCATTGCCGTGCAGCATTCATTGCTCAACTGCGGCTGGGGGCTGGTTGCATGCGTGCGTGTATGTGTGTGTGTGCGCGCGTGTGTGCACATTGTTTGGACGCGGGCATACCTGCCTCGTGCGCACGTCCGTGGCTCAGGCGCCCGCTGCTGCTGCTGCCACTCGCTTCCGTGCGCGCCTACAGCCTGCGGGCCGGCCCTGCGGGATGGGAGGACGGCACCCAATCGTTCCTGGACTTTCCAGCTGTGACGGCCGGCCTGGCCTTCATCCGCCGGCTGGGAGGCTTCCCTGCGGTGGCAGGTGCGGCTGCAGGCGCTGCCGCCGCTGTGTGGCAGGCCTGGGCCGGGTTCTTTGGCAGCCAGCCGCAGCGGCAAGCGGGGGCTTGTTTCACAGCGGCCTGCCTGCCTGGGCCGGCCAGCCTGCTGCCTTCTGCACAAACAAGCCCCCTTCCGCCCCAAGCGCATTCCAACCGATACCGCGCCATGCCTGCCTCCCCGCGCCGTGGTGCAGCGCATGCCGAGGCCGTGGCCGCCAGCCTGGCACGCCAGCTCAGCAGCCTGCGCCACTGGAACGGCGCCCCGGTGTGCGTGCTGTACGGCGCCCGCGGCCGGCTGCTGCAGGAGCAGGGGCGCGAGCAGCAGCAGCAGGAGCACGGGACGCGTAGCCGGAGCCTGCCGCGGCGGCCCGGCGGCGTGGCGGGGCAGGGGCCGGTTGTGGCGTTCAACCTGCTGCGCGCCGACGGCTCCCCTGTGGGGCACCGAGAGATGGAGAAGCTGGCCAGCCTGTCTGGCATCCTTCTGCGCACCGGCTGCTGCTGCAATCCGGGCGCCTGCGCCGCCGCCGTGGGGCTCAGCTCCGCAGGTGGGGCCGCGCCCGCCGCGGCCGCCTAGCAGGGGGCTGCACATGCGTGCCATGCTGACCGGCGGCCTTCGTGCGGGGTGGCTGCATGCCGTGGGGTGGCGCGCTTCCAGAGCCTAGCAGTGTCCCAACCAACATACTCATTTATGGTAGCAAGCGTCGCGCGCGGCGCCGCCTTGCTTGCTTGCTGTGCTGCGCTGATGCAGACATGCGGGCCAACTATGAGGCGGGGCACGTGTGCTGGGACGATCGGGATGTGATAGGCGGGCGCCCCACCGGCGTGGTGCGGGCCTCCTTTGGCTACGCCTCCAGCCTGGCAGACGCCGCCGCGCTGGCCGCGCTGGTGGCGCGGTACTGGGTGGAAAGCGCGGCGCAGGCGGCATGCGCCGCGCCGGCGCCAGCGCCGGGCGCGTGCCGCCAGCAGACCGCCGCAGGCGGCCAGGCCGCGGCAGCGGCGGCTGCAGCCTCCCCTGCCGGCAGCATAGAGAGCCTGTGGGTGTACCCTCTTAAGTCGTGCCGGGGCTTCTCACCGCCCACCTGGCCCCTAGGTGCGGCGAGGGCGGCGGCGGGGGCTGTGCCGGGCTTTGCCACTGCTGTCGGGGGTCCGTTGCTTTGGTTGCTGCAGAGGGGAGTGCCCTGCCTGCCTGCCTGCCTGCCTGCCTGCCTGCCTGGGCTGCTTGAGACCTTGGGCTGTACCGCCAGGCTGTACCATCAGGCTGCATCACACACCCGGCTGGGCAGTGTGGGCGCAGCAGCTGCATCCCCTTGCCTTCCCCCGAGCCTTTCAACCGCCGGCTGGCTGCAAGCTGGCAGCAGCGCTGCTTCACCGCCCGCCGCACCCTCCCTGTCCCACCCTGCAGGGCCCTCCGGCCTGCTCTACGACCGCTGCTGGGTGCTGGTTGACAGCGGCGGCGCGGCCCTAAGGCTGAAGCAGCACCCGCGCCTGGCAGCCATCCAGCCGAGCATCGACCTGCGCCGCCGCCGCCTGGTGGTGACGGCCCCCGGGGAGCGGCGGCCGCTGGAGGTGCCGCTGCCGGGCCCCGCGGCGGCGCCCGCTGGCGACGCCGCCGGCAGCGAGGAGCGTGAGCAGCAGCGGGAACAGCAGCAGGAGCAGCAGCAGGAGCAGCAGCAGCAGCAGCAGCAGGGGCCGGGCGCGGGAGGCGAGGGGGAGGGGACCAGCGTGCGGGTGTGCAGCCGCACAGAGTGCGCCTCGCGCGCCGCCGGCGCGGCCGGCGGCGAGGCCGAGGCGGCGGCCTGGTTCAGCCACGTGCTGGGCCTGCCCTGCCGCCTGATGCAGCTGGCAGAGGGCGGCGGCCGCAGTGCAGGGGGCAGGCCCGCGCCAGGAGCGGCCGCGGGCGGCGGCGGCGGCGGCGGCGGCGGCGGCGGCGGCGGCCCGCCTACTCACAGCTTTGCCAACGGGGGCCAGCTGCTGGTGCTGGGGGCCGCCAGCCTGGCCGACCTGCAGGCTCGGGCCGGCAGCCAGGAGCCGCCCGCCACCTTTGCGCAGCGCTTCAGGTGTGGGCGCGCAGGCGCCGGACGGGGGGCGGCTGTGGCGTGCCGCCGGCTGCGGGACGGAGCAACCGGCTTAGCTGTGCGCCTTTGTTGTGCGTAATGTGCTTTGTACGTGTTGCGGCATGGGCTCCTGCCCTCCCCCCTTCCCTGACACTCCATCCCGATGGACAGAAGTTTGCCTGCCAGCCTTGCTCGGTCAACTGCCGCGCGTCTCGGCCAAACTGCCGCGCCCCTCCTGCACCTGAACCTGCCCCCGCCAGGCCAAACCTTGTGGTGGGCGGCGCCGAGGCATACGCAGAGGACGGGTGGCAGCGGGTGGGCGTGGAGGCCGTCGCCGGCGGCAGCAGCGGCGGCGTCGCCGCGGTGGTTCTACAGAGCGTGGGGCCGTGCACGCGCTGCGACATGGTCTGTGCCGACCCGCTGACCGGCAGGTGTGTGGGCAGAGGCGGCAGGCGGGCAGCATGGGGGCGCCACGCTGGGCGCGGCGATGGCGTCACCTCAGCAGCGGACGCGCCAGCAGCGCCGCGAGGGTCCTGCAGGCGCCTGCTCCTCTGCTCCGCTCTCTCCTGCTACCCGAGCCAGCCCCCTCCTTGCCTCCTGCCGCCAGTGCCCCATGCCGCCGCCCACCCGCCCCCGCCCCCGGCCCTGCAGGCGCACCGGCCCCGAGCCGCTGCTGACGCTGGCGGGCTACCGGCGCAGCCGCGGCCGCATCTCCTTTGGTTGCCTCATGAACCAGCAGCCGCAGCAGCAGCCGCCGCAGCAGCAACAGCCGCCACCGCCGCTGCAGCAGCAGCAGGGCCCGGGTTTCAGCGAGGATGAAGAGCCTGCGGCGCTG